CAGTGTTCACGCACAGGCCAGGATTTAGCGTGAGCGGCGTTTTTTGTGTTAACTTAAAAGGAATGTATATGACTTAATGAACCGAAACATTTCTCTTCTGTTATTTTCTTCCTTGCGTCTTATATACTACAATAATAATTCGCAATCTAACTAACGATCTAGTACTAAATTATCACTTTATCATTATTCTAATAAACACACATAAGCTTGTTGCATGTGTAATAATCATTTACCCTGCTGCAGTCATAATACGTACTGCTGAAGTGGAATTCGAACATGCTCAGTTGCGATGCGTAACATGCGCGCATGTGAGGGGTAGGAGATATTGGAAGTTGATTTTACATTTCTAATCCCCACATCAACTTAGGAAATCACGAATCTGTGGCTCTTTTCGTTTTTGGGTCGTAAAATTAACGAGGATTAAGACCTAAGGATGTAGATTAGCAAAGCTTAAAGCTTAAAACTTAAACTTAAAACTTAAAACTGGAAACTTAGAACTTAAAGCTTAAAAAGCTACCTTCGGCAACACAAGTTTCAGACTTCCAATCTTTCATTGATGAGAGCGCCTCGGAGTGTATCAGAACCGGGATCTCCAAATCGGAATTGTGCATTTGACGCAAATCAGTTTTTGCGTTTGATTTGCTGGATACTACCGGTTTCACGGTAACTTCGGAGCGGCGTGTAAGAACTGTTGGTTCCATGACATTTTTTGCTGATGGTATTTCCGAAATCACTGGAGTCAGCAGTTCCAACTCGTATTCACTTTCCTTAACCTTGAACAGCTGCCCACTCATTCCGCCTGATGGCATTTCCTCTTCTTTGCAAAGTACATGGCTTTCACCTATGTCTTCTCTTTCCAAGCCTTCATTTCTTCTATATACTGCCCTGAATGATAAATGAATTAGCGAGAAGTATTAAGAAAAATCACGTTTCGCTTTTTTGCGTCAACCATCAACGTTCTTTTCTCTCATTCCCTTTGTTCTCTCTCTGTTTTCTCTTTCTTTCACATATCCGTCTTACAAATTAGGCACATGACTGTTTGGTATATGGTGGATAGGGAGTTGTACTGATGAGTCCCGCTCTTATACGCACGCAGAGTTTGATATTTGTTTACAGCTAAGGGATGAAACATAGACTGCATCCTAACACGTTTACACATGACACAATCCAATACCTTCTATTCTACAATTTCCTTAAACAAAAAGACATTTGTTATGCTAAAGAGTTTTGGAGTTTTGCACTGCTAATCTTCGATGTGCTATGCAAAAATAATTCGCGGGTCCTCAACTTCCCACCAAAAACTTCTGGATTTGCTTTATTTATGACATCCAAAAGTTAACACCTTTGCCATCCATGACTTTGATACTGATTCATAGCTTCATCCGTAGCACTTTTAGCAGTAGTGGATGTAATAATTCTTGTATTCTCCTGGATATCCTGCCGATCACTTTCCACAACGCCAGTCTTATTATCATCACTATTTTCATCCGCAGCAAGAAAAGTGTATTTTGTGATGATGCCACCACTGTTTTCCCTTTTATCCAAGAACGACTGATCTGGAGCCGACGATATGGATGACAGCGATCCAGAATTACGAATATGTTTACGCTTCATTGGTTCTGTTGCAATATGCAGTCTCTTTCGTGATTCATGATCCGTGCAGTTGGCTCCATCTGCAAAACGGAATGAAAATCAGTCTGAGAAGTGTGAATATTAATCTGATATTAAATGCTAAGATATTTATTAACCTAAAGCAGAATTATAAACGCTATTCTAGCTGTGGATACCAGCTCATAGCTTTGTAGTGCAAGACTGGAAACCACAGCATATATGGAAGATTAATGTTTCAGCTAGGATTAAGACATCTCGATAAGTTGCATGGATGAAAACGAACCTATAATCGGCTTTCTCAAATTGTAGACGTGTACAGAAAAATCTGAGACGTTTCCGGTTTAGCTA